GACCCCAAACACAGTAAGTTAAGCAGAATGAGAAGACAGAAAAACACACAGCAGATGAAGGAGCAAGATAAAAACCCACCAGACCTAACAAATGAAGAGGAAATAGGCAGTCTGCCTGAAAAAGAATTCAGAATAATGATAGTAAAGATGATCCAAAATCTTGGATATAGAATAGACAAAATGCAAGAAACATTTAACAAGTATCTAGAAGAACTAAAGAGCAATCAAACAATGATGAACAACACAATAAATGAAATTAAAAATTCTCTAGATGGGATCAATAGCAGAATAACTGAGGCAGAAGAACGGATAAGTGACCTGGAAGATAAAGTAGTGAAAATAACTACTGCAGAGCAGAATAAAGAAGAAAGAATGAAAAGAACTGAGGACAGTCTCAGAGAACTCTGGGACAACATTAAATGCACCAACATTTGAATTATAGGGGTCCCAGAATAAGAAGAGAAAAAGAAAGGGAATGAGAAAATATTTGAAGAGATTATAGTTGAAAACTTCCCTAGTATGGGAAAGGAAATAGTTGGTCAAATCCAGGAAGTACAGAGAGTCTCATACAGGATAAATCCAAGGAGAAACATGCCAAGACACATATTAATCAAACTATCAAAAATTAAATACAAAGAAAAAATATTAAAAGCAGCAAGGGAAAAACAACAAATAACACACAAGGGAAATCCCCATAAGGTTAACAGCTGATTTTTCAGCAGGCATTCTGCAAGCCAGAAGGGAGTGGCAGGACATATTTAAAGTGATGAAGGAGAAAATCCTACAACCAAGATTACTCAGCAAGGATCTCATTCAGATTTGATGGAGAAATTAAAACCTTTACAGAGAAGCAAAGGATAAGAGAATTCAGCACTACCAAACCAGCTTTACAACAAATGCTAAATTTAGGAACTTCTCTAGGCAGGAAACACAAGAGAAGGAAAAGACCTGCAATAACAAAGCCAAAACAATTAAGAAACTGGGAATAGGAACATGCATATCGATAATTACCTTAAATGTAAATGGATTAAATGCTCCAACCAAAAGACATAGACTGGCTGAATGGATACAAAAACAAGACCCGTATATATGCTGAAGAGCATGTGGAGGAAAGGGAACCCTCTTGCACTGTTGGTAGGAATGTAAATTGATACAGCCACTATGGAGAACAGCATGGAAGTTCCTCAAAAAACTAAAAATAGAACTACCATATGACCCAGCAATCCCACTACTGGGCATATACCCTGAGAAAACCATAATTCAAAAAGAGTCATGTACCAAAATGTTCATTGCAGCTCTATTTACAATAGCCATGACATGGAAGCAACCTAAGTGTCCATCAACAGATGAATGGATAAAGAAGATGTGGCACATATATACAATGGAATATTACTCAGCTATAAAAAGAAATGAAATTGAGTTATTTGTAGTGATGTCGATGGGCCTAGAGTCTGTCATACAGAGTGAAGTAAGTCAGAAAGAGAAAAACAAATGCTGTATGATAACACATATATATGGAATCTAAAACAAAAAAAAGGTCCTGAAGAACCTAGGGGCAAGATGGGAATAAAGACGCAGACCTACTAGAGAATGGACTTGAGGATATGGGGAGGGGGAAGGGTAAGCTGTGACAAAGTGAGAGAGTGGCATGGACATATATACACTACCAAACGTAAAATAGATAGCCATTGGGAAGCAGCCGCATAGCACAGGGAGATCAGCTCAGTGCTTTGTGACCACCTAGAGGGGTGGGATAAGGAGGGTGGGAGGGAGGGAGATGCAAGAGGGAAGAGATATGGGGACATATGTATCTGTATAATTGATTCCCTTTGTTATAAAACAGAAACTAACACAGCATTGTAAAGCACTCCATGAGATAGTGTAATTCTTTGTTTTTGTTTACTGTTTTATTTCATTTTACCTGTCAGATTTTTGATATTCGATAATTGGTAAAGAAATAAATATTCAAGATAGTGCCTTTATTTTCTTTGCAATGTTTTAAAATACAGCTCTGTAATTTTCTGTTTTTTTAATGATACAAGATCCCATCAGACCTGTCACATAGTAACCAGCTGTGGGTGATTTTTCCAAATTTCTGCTTTTGTGATTAATGAATCTTTTCTCAGGTTTACTGTTTGAGAATAGGTTAATATATATAACTTCCAGTGTAATTCCGAGACTCTAGCAAGCATTCATGTTGTGTGACTTTGGTATACTCAGGAAAATCTTCTCCTGTCATGTCGCTTGTTTTTTTGTATCTCTTTATCAAGGGCTCTATGTGAATTTTTTTTTTTTTAAGGAGATGTCCTGGTTGTATCACAAATGTTTTGAATCAGAATCTCATGTGGGTGTATGATTGTGGTTTCTTTTAAAAAAATGTTTCACAGTTGATTCTGATGACCCGCATTTTTTTTTTTTTTTTTTTTTTTTCAGAAAAAAACTACAACTTCTAGCATTCACTATAATAAAGCTGCCATCACTAGCAAATTCAGTATTCAAATATTTGTTCTCATTCACTCTACTTCTTGTCCTACTTGTGAGGGTGTGAAAGATCTCTGTGCACCAAACACAAACACAGAAAAAGCCATGCAATTGAGAGAGAGTTGGTAAATGATTTGGTACAGACTCCATTTCTGCCAGAGAGCAGACAAACAAAATGAAGATACATCTTTTAAATGGGCTTTGCTTTCTCAGGTTAATGTCAGCGTTTCTTAATCCATTTCCATGGGCTTGAAAGAAACTTAACACATTCTGTAATATGCTGTCTGACAGTTGCAGCTTGGAAATTTTCTATTAGTTATATTTCTTCAGCAGTATTTTAATGAGAGGTTGGAAGAAGATGTATCAAGTGCTGATAGTCAAATTAGAAATTAATAAGGTCTGGGAAATATATGACTTAATACATGAATGACAGATGTCACGATAGCATAAGCCCTCCATCATACTAGACTTTAGGCTTGAGTAACATAGTCCAAACTGGTTTTGGTTCTTGTTTTAAAAAGAAAGGTATTAAGCTTTTCTTCTTATTTAGACTATTAATTTCTCTCTTCCTTTTTCACCTCTACCTATCTTCTAGTCACCGGTTTTATTGCATTACAATTACCTGAGCAAATACATTTTCTTCTATTACATATTAACCATACCTTTCACTTTAAATTTGTATGGATCATATATTCTAATCTTAACCACAAATGCATAGCCACACCTTAACAATGAGTACTCCCATTTTTTTCCCATTTATAGTTTGTTTCATTGTCATAAATTCATAGGTGATTCATTGTTCCATCATTAGTATAGAATGTGAAAATTGTCAGTGAAAGGACCAGGAACTGCTCAAAAATAACATCCTACTCAATTAATACAATGTTAGTTGAAAACACAGCGGCAGAAGAATTTTTCTCTCCCCTTAAATATGTGTTTCACGGTCCACTCTGGCATCACTACTTAACGGTTCTAAGTTCGCTTCGTTCAAGGATTTTCTTTCATTTTCTGATGCCTTGATACCTTTTCCTTGATATTTTTTCTTCATAACAGAAATTAATACAACATATAAAACAAGAGCTGGGAGTTTTAAGCCTGTAGTCAAGCCAAAGAAAGTATTTCTGTGAAAAGAGAAAAAAAGTCAGTTTTTACCTGGAAAACATTTTACAGTGTTGCTCTTCAGTATGCAGAAGGCCTTTAAAAAATGATATTTGAAATCTTACATAAAAATATTGAAGTAGCAATTTCAGTGATTCTTTTGATTGGAGCATAAGAAGTTTGTGATTATTTTTAAAGGACTATTAACCCACAGAAACTAAGGATGGTTCATGATCTGCCCAAGTGCTATCCGTAAAATAAGGTATATTTGGGATGTTTAATTTTCTCAGAGACAGATTAGTTCATGTGTAATGAGAACAGATTATAAAGGAAATGAACTGACTGTGAGATAATCAGATTGAATCCATTTATATTGAACCAGGAGCCAATGTTTACCTTATAGGCTTGCTGTCTACGAAGCCCTGCCCTGTGGTCTACTGAAAACTTTTTCACAAAGCCACATAAAATTACCTAGTACACATGGTCTATTCCAAGGATTCTCAACTTTGATTGAACATAAGAATCACCTAAGGAGATTTTAAAACTCCCATTCCCCAGGCCATACCCCCTGACCAATTAAATCAAAATTGAAATAAGTATTTCAAAATAGAAGTTAGCATTTTTGGGAAATTCCCTGGTGGTCCAGTGGTTAGGACTCCATGTTTTTACTGCTAAGGGTGCGGGTTCAATCCCTGGTTGGGGAACTAAGATCCTGCAAGCTGCATGGCACAGCCAAAAAAAAAAAAGAAAGAAAAAAGAAATTAATATTTTTTAAAGCTCCTCAGGTGATTATAATGAGCAGGAAAGATTGATGACCACTGACCTGGTAGGTTGGGAAGCACTCGCCTCATAACATTATTAACTAAATGTTGAGAAGCTTTATGCAAAAGATACTTTGAACAATTATTAGGTTTAACTGAATGGAATTAATTCTATAACTTTGAGTTGTTTACAAAGTTTATTAAATGGTAGCTATAATTCCTAATATTATTATTACACTGAAAATATCTCATTCTTTAGTAATTAACATAGTCAAAGGAAAAAATCAATTAATGAAATATATTTATGACAACTTACCCATATAATGTGGAATTGTATATCCGACAAGACCCTTGCTTCCCATAGTTGTTGACAGACCACTTCATACAAGCTCTATCAATCAGAGCCCCAAAGTATATAGGAGCTGGAATTCCTCCTGCAACATAAGATGAGAAGATGTCAACCCAAGGAACATGTTTCAAAGGAAACAGTGATATTCCACACTGATATATTTGAATTATGTAGAAATTAAAAAATTTGGAGGACTTGTCCATTGATTTGGCCTAACTCTACTCAAGAATCAAGATTATGAGGAATCTCCAAAGCTCAAATCACATACAATAGCATAGACATCTTTTATCTACCCTCACCATGCCAACACACATAGGGAAGAAGGAAGATTATATGCCTGTACATTGTTCTTCTTATAATGCCAATTAACTTAAGCCTGGTTGGTAAAAAGGAGAATGTTGTCAGTAAAACATAGAAGTTATGTTGGTTCATATGTAATTTTTCTTAGGCAAGGACAGCTAGAATAGCAGGAGTAGAGTTATAACTTCACAGGGAAAGGGAAAATCTCTCAGCTTAGTTGCTGCAAAGGCAAGAGATTTTTCAACTCTATTTTTAAGTAAATTAAAAGATGGGGGCTTCCCTGGTGGCGCAGTGGTTGAGAATCTGCCTGCTAATGCAGGGGACACGGGTTTGAGCCCTGGTCTGGGAGGATCCCATATGCTGCAGAGCGACTAGGCCCGTGAGCCACAACTACTGAGCCTGCGCGTCTGGAGCCTGTGCTCCACAACAAGAGAGGCCGTGATAATGAGAGGCCCGCACACCGCGATGAAGAGTGGCCCCCACTTGCCACAACTAGAGAAAGCCCTCGCACAGAAACGAAGACCCAACACAGCCATAAATAAATAAATTAATTAATAAACTCCTACCCCCAACATCTAAAAAAAAATCTTTAAAAAAAAAAAAGGTGAATGCCAACACTAGGACTTCCTCCCCAGAGAAGCACAGGCCCAGCTTCACTGAGTGCTAGGCTCCTGGTAGCCTGTGCTTTTTTTTTTTTTTTTTGGCCTCAGGGCTCCCCTCCCACCTTCTTGGAGTCATGAAGCATTTTCTCTCCATTGATTGTGTTCTTTTTTTTTTTTTTTTTTGCGGTACGCGGGCCTCTCACTGCTGTGGCCTCTCCCATTGCAGAGCACAGGCTCCAAACGTGTAGGCTCAGTGGCCATGGCTCATGGGCCCAGCCACCCTGCGGCACGCGGGATTCTCCCGGACCGGGGCACGAACCCGTGTCCCCTGCATCGGCAGGCGGACTCTCAACCACTACGCCACCAGGGAAGCCCGATTGTATTCATTTTTAATACCTCCTGAAGCAGCCTGGGCTGTCCAAGTGTCTGTGGTGCTGAATTTTGCTTCTATTGATGTTCTGATCATAATGATGCCTAGGTCTCTTCAGTGGCCTGTACCTAACCCAGTTTTTATTTGTAGTGTATGATTTTGCAGAATTTGAGGATTTTCAGGAACACATATGTTGTCTTATAGCAGAAGTGCCCATCTGCTTGTACTGCTATTTTAATAAACTCTGACATTGACTCCTAATTCTAAGCATTGGTAACTTGACCAAATTTTATAGATGTGCTAATTTTAAAATTTTATATTGTTACTTAAAAATGATAGTGATTCATAGTTTACAGTTTTGCCAATTCCATTTACTTTTAATCAGTCTCAATTTTCTGAGAGTGAGAAATCTTAGAATGTCAAGGAACTGGTGTCTGAGACGAATATATCTGAGGAAAACTGTTACTGAGAAACTGGATTAGGAATTCACAGGTTTCTACAAATCTAAGCCATTCCTTTGAAAAATGAAAAATATGTGCCAACAATTTATTTTTCTTATATAAAAATAGCACTAGTTTGATCAAACTTAATGAATTAAATGTTTCAGGTAACAAACTTGGTCTTATATTTTTGAAAATGTAAAACTTCAGATAACTTGTTTTCCAAATACCTATTTCAGTTTAATATACCTTCCACAATTTACATTGTATTCAGACAGTTGTTTGTGACTGGACATTTGGTCCTCAGTATGTATTTCTCCCCTAGAAGAGTTAGATTCCATTGGGCCATATACTGGACGTATCAAAATAGGATGCTCAAAATCAGAATAGCAAAATTCCTTTTTTTCTATTTTACGTCTCTAGAGGAACTTCTTCTATTCTCAGTCTCATTTCAGCATATCAGAAGGAGTACTAGCTCCCCAAATTCTCTTTCTATCTGCTAACTTCTATGGCTTAGATTCTAGGAGTGAGGCATCTCCATTGGATCTAGAGGAACTGCCAGGATTGGACAGAGAGCTACAAAAGACAAGGTAGAAACTTTAATGCACATAACTAACAAAGAAGGCAGTCTGAAAAACTACTTACTGTATGATTCCAACTATATGATCCTCTTCCATAAAGTTTGCACTATTCCTGCCAGCTGGAAATAACTATCCTCTTTAGAACTCTTAGCACTTTGTAGCTCACTCACAGCCCCTTATCATCCTGCAGTACCTCCATCTTCTCCTTCTCTCCCATACCTTTTATATTTTCTCCTTTTACCTTTGAGCATCTGTGATTTTCTCCCAAATATACTTCTTGGACACCTGCTCCATTGTAATTTGGCCATAGTTATGCTTCTTTCTTTTGCTTGCAAGAGTCCCAAGGATTGACGCCCTCCCATTTCCTTTTCTTTCAGCCATCAGTGGTTACCTCCAGGCCATGATCAGTTGCCTACCCCAATTCCTAGAGCAATCGTGTCCTTTTCCTACTTCCCAGGAATAAGCATATAATGTTAACAGGTCTTAAAAAGCGGTAGCACAGGGGTTAGGTTAGAAGTTGTTAAGCTAACAACAGGAAACTGTATGGTATAAATGGCAAATGGCAACAAAGGGAAAAGGATAATTTTCTAAATCTTGTACTAATCACCTCATCTGAATATTTAGAAATAGGCCTTTAGCCTCTAGAGTCTATAGTATTACTATTTGACAGCAACAACAACAAAACACAACTTCCTGAGCTTTCTTTCATTCAGAGCACTCCCCATTCCAAGATGCTCAGTTCTAGAATTTTAGTTCCCATGAAACCAAGCAGAACCCTGTGGGCCCCTGCAAGTACAAAGGTCCCTCCATGTCCTCTGCCTCTTGTTTGTAGAAACGATGAAGTCTCCCAGGCCTTCCTGAGTCACAAAAGAGCAAGCTCAAGCAGTTAATGATTAGGACAACAGAGTCACAGAATCTTTCCAGTGTCTTATGTACATCCCTGAGTTGTTTTGCAGATACCATAACTGCCACCAAAGGAAAAAAGCTAACCGCCTAATGACCAGACTATAGCCATGCCATAAGCTGTTCCATCTACGGCTAGCACAATTCCAAGAACTGGCTTCAGATACTGGGATTAACATTATTGCTCATGATAATCTATATTTTGTGGGCATCAAAATAATTCTAGTTTACTCTGCCTGTATATGTATGTGGGCAACTAAAATTATCAGCAAAAAGACACTACAGATCCATGTCGACATCTTCCACTTTAAGAATACAGTGCCCTATGTCGGCATGAAATTATAGAAGATGGACTTTCATCCCTAATCCCATGGAATGGAATGATGTCTGACAAGTAGCTCTTTTGCTCCTTTTCTGTTTGTCTATTTCTGTTCCCCTTAAACCTTAATTGTAAAAATCAGATCACTAGGTAACATTTAACCTAACTCCTGACTTGTGCTCTACTTAATGCATACTATGCCTTGCCTAACCTGTTGATTCTTTTCCTAGATTAAAAGCAGTAGGAATGAAGAATTAAGTAATTAAAAAATGATTGACTCTCTATCCCCAGTGCCCCGTTAGCAAACTTGCAAGCAGACCACACGGGCAAGATGGCATCCAAAGGAAGATCAGGAGTAGTCAGCAGGTCTGCATGAAGTGAAAAAATGATGAAGAATCTGACCTCCTACCTTAATAATTAACTGAGATTATTTCCCCTTTTTCCCTTTAAAAACTATCATGGCTGAGCAGAATCTTCAGACATGGTTTTGGGATGAGTCTGCCTTCTCCCTAGATTGCTGGCTTTTCTGATTAAAGCAACTTTCCTTTCTACCAACGCTTGCCTCTCAAATATTGGCTTTTGAACAGGGAACAGCCAAACCTGAGTTCAGTAACACCCATTCCCTTCTGCATTTTAAATTTCTATTAAAGGTTATCTGCCCCAGCCTTAGAGAACTAGTCTGAGGGACTGTGAAAGTCCTCATCTGTTGTTTTGCACAATCTCCCAGGCCTCCTGAGCTGTTTTGGGCATTACCCCCCTCAGCATAAAAGGAAGGTCCTTCACTCTGCATATGGGAAGAAATATTCCTAAATCTTGAATTAAATTCTTGGATCTTTGTTTTAGAAAGGATATAATACAAATATGATGATGCCTTGTTCTTACAGATTGATTCTAAATAGAACTGACAATGAAATTCTCTTTTAGGTCATTTAGTTCTCCTTTATCTCATTATTTTTCATTTACCACAAACATTAAAATGATATTTCACTTATACCTTTTTAAAGAAACTTTCTGATAATTGGAAATCAATTACATTCAGTCTTTGAGCTTTGACATGAAAATTTATACCTGGAAGTTATCATCTACATATTTATCATACCTAGTGTTCGAATAGTTAGTGAATGGAAACCCATGGCAAGTGATTTCAGTTCAGGTTCAACATTTCTGAAATAAGATAAAGGCAAAGCAACATTAAGCATCTCTAAAATACCAGATTGAGCTAAATATTAAAGCATTTCTCAGTGTTGTTCTTCATGATCTAATGAAAGTCCTCAAGTGAAGAGTGGATATTATTTAAAGTTATATTTTCAGTTGTTTTAGAAGGCAAACATCTGAATGATATTAACAGTTCTTATTTCTTTACTTATTCAATGTGTTACAATTTCAAGACAGTTGTACAAACATTTCCACATTCGATTCTTAGGAAATCCTAAGATAGTGGTTGGAATAGACTTTATGATATCTATGAAGACAGTGATTTCATGTGATCTATTCAGTTGACACCTGCCATATGAGAGAGCAAATACTTTTATGTAGGTCTTGGTCTGAGCAGAACTCTTTTTACTACTTCATTTCTGTCATTGCTGTTAACAGAAAAGTTGACTAATATGATTCATAAACTACATAATATAATGAGGAAGATCACAAAAGATATCTGTATTCTACTGTCTAGTGTATTTAAATGTCATTTTAAAGGTAGCAAATACACTTGTATCCTCTCTTAAAATTTAACTCACTTTTGCATTTAGAAAGTTATTTCCACAATTCCATATTTCTATGTTCAATGAGCTGATGATACAACCAACTCTGTAATAACCTAATACATATCAAGCAAAATAAATTATCTGACTGCATTTGCAAGATGGGGGAGGGTGACTGAGGCTCAGAAGTTCTGTTTTTACTGAAATATTGAATTAACTGATACAAAGGTTTATTTCTTTTCTTGAATGACTGTGTGTGTTCAGAGATAAATAAATGTAGTCATTCAATAAACATTTGCCATGTGTCTCCTAGGAGACTCTATGCTAGTTGTTATTGATATAAAGAGATAAATCATGTTTCATAGTAACTAAATGCCTTAGATAAGTCATCAGCCTCTCTTAGCCTCAGTTTCCTTAACTGCTAAGTAGTCTTATCTTGTGTGTTGTGAGGATGCAATGTAATAAGCTAGCCCTCTAAACCTCAATTTTCTTAACACAAAATTGCCCCTTAAGACTTGTAAGAGAGCTACACTTGAGTGAGATTCTCAGAAGTATTCAAGAAAGCTTATAAAAGTAAACAGGATAAAAAATTAAACATAGCATAATAAAAATGAAACACAGCAGAGTTATGTATTAAGAGAGAAAATGAATGGAAAGGGTTTTTTCTCTGCTTTTGCAAAAGGCAGGGACACTTCCACTAGCTGAGCTGAGGACACAAAACACTATCCTTGAGCGCAGTGAAGCCATGCCAGTAAGTAGATGAGGTCATGTTATTCAAAGAGGTGATTTCTTCCCTGAGGAAATTGTCATGAGGGAATCAGCCATGACAGTTAACTAGTCCAGTTAGCTGTCTCTGTCAAATATCAGATTTCTTAAGAGGGCTTTTGGGAAGAGAGAGAATGCAGTTTGTTCCTGGTTGAATTCTCTGTGACAAGTGCCTGAAGTGTCACTTTTCATTGCAGTTGATTTTTTAAAGGGTGCATTTGGCTTACAAGCCAGATGCAATAGAGGCAAAATTGAGATGTTTGTTATCAACTTGTATTTTTACCCAGGGAGAGGGCTAGTGTGTAGGAGAATTGAGTGGACTTGGAGATAGTGATAATATCTTCCTGAAAGGGAACTTGAAATCTTAGACAACTCAGTGGAAATGATAGACTTATGTGATATAATGACACACAACACACATACACACATATACAGTGACAATCACACACACTCCTACACTCACATGGATGAACACTTACAGACCCTCATGCTCATACTTACATTCACACTCTCAACACACACACACAGACACACACACACACATTTTTATCATGTAAAATATTGGTCACTGCAGCATGAGTCCTACCTCAATCTGATAGTGATCAGCTCTGTATTTTGATCAACATTTCTCAGGATGGATTCTCCACAAAAAGCACCTCCTATCATAGCTTTCTGTTTTCCCTGATTCTGTTCTTGCCTCCCAAAGACATATTTTCCACAGCAGAGTGATCTTCTAATTGGATAAGATAGTTGTATAATTCTACTGCTCAGATCTCTCTGCTGGCTTCTTAATACAATGAGAGTAAACTCCAAAGTCTTTACTGTGATCCACAGGGTCTGTGTTATCTGCACCATGCTTGCTCTCTCATTGTACTTCTTACCTCTTTCTTCTTCGTACAGTCCTCCTGGTCTTGTACGTGTCAAGTATGTTCCACCTCAGGACTTTTACCTCCACTGCTACCTTCCCTGGATTGCTCTTCACCTGTTCATATCTGCATGATTTGTACCCTCAGTCTTTATTCAGGTCTCATCAAATGACTTTCAATGGAAGGTATCTGAATTAGTAGTGATTCTCCACCCCCTCTTCTTTCTTTGCTTTTCTTTTTTCCTTTTTTTTTTTTTTTCCTCATCAGGTTATTCTCATCTATGGTCTCCCATTTCCCACACTGGGAGCACATCAAGTCAGGCTGTGGTGACAATGGAATGGGGATCCTAAAGCAGACCCTGCCATTGCACTTTACAGAGACAGAGGGTAATTAAAACCCTAGTTAGTGAAGATGAAGTGCCCCTCCTTCCTCACCAGAATTTAGTGATGGAGGGCTCTGCCGAGGGCCTGAGCAATGTAATAAAGACTTGGCTGTTAGGCTTTTTAATGTTTAATTTTTTTGGATGCATGGTGATTAGCTAATTGCTAATTTTACTGGAGATGCAGGCCGTTGACCTGGTGAGGCTGGAGGTTCAGATATTCATGGAATGTTGTGGTCTAGTTTGGTGATCCATCTCTTTCAATGGCTCAGACAGGTGATTGAATAAAAGCCCCAGAAATGCACTTGGTAGACTAACCACACTTTGTAGAAGTGAAGTAGGATGTTTATCATGCACATCCAGATCATAGCTTTAGCCTCAATTATTCTATAATATGTGGATTTCTTCACAACTTAACTATTCTTGCAGAGAGGGTGGCTTTTACTAAGAGGAAAGGGGCTCTTATGATGAGTCGTCTTCTATAACTCCTGTCCAATTTTTAAAGATTCACAGAGTTGGTTGAGCTTTCAAATTCTTGGGAGGGAACAGTCTGAAACTACCATTTCTTTAAAACAGTGTTGTAAAAAAATGTTTTTGAAATTATTCTGAAAAAAGTTTTTGAAATTAATTATTCTTGCAGAAAAGTTGCAAGAATAGTACAAGAATTCCTTCCTCATTCCTGTCATCTGTATTTCCAAGCATTAAAATTTTATTACCTTTTCTATATTTTTACTCTGATTTTTTCTTCCTAATGCTTAACACTTCTTTTTTTGTGTGTATTTACATGCTTATTTATCTATTGTTTCTTCTCCTACACCCATCCACTCTCCCATCCCTCACCCTCACTGAAAGCTAATGAAAGGAGAGCCCTTATCACTTTTGTTCACAGTTCCATCCGTGGCCCCTAGAACCGTGCCTAACATATATACTGAATGTGTAAATATCAACACTCATGCTTAGTCTAGTTTTAATAATAGCCTTATGATGTAAGCATCGGGAAATCATTAATAGACTGAAGTTTATATTTTTATTCCACAGTCTGCCTTACAAAAGTTCTCTTTCAATAAAATCGAAGGTTGGTGAGAAATCAAAAAATGTTTCTGATAAATGGTAATGTTGATCTTATCGTTCTCCTCATGAAAAGTTTTAAATTAAGAAGCCAAGACTTGTTGAGATGCAAACTAATTTGGAGTTTTGAGACAACTTCCTGTAATTTAATGAATCTGTAATTTGGCAAATATGGAAAGCTTCTCCTTTTGAGTAGACATTTTATGTTATATTTTATGGTAAGGTAGAGCTTTATCTGTGGAATAAATTAGTATAAATAATTTGACAAGATTTAAGGGTCATTGTGGAATTTAAACAACTGTAGTCTCAGTTTATAGCTTTATACTCATTTTAAAAAACATTAATATATTTGTTTTCTTTCCCTTCTAAGTCATGCTGTTGGCTGACTGTGAACCTGTTGCTAACTACTTATGTCTTAAAAGTATAACTAGAGGTTAACCCAGATCACCATACTTACACATATATATTTTAATACCTACATGCAAGTCTTTATATGCTTTCACTTTTAGGTGATTGAATGATTAACTTCACCAACAGGCCTTGTATTACCTACTCCCTTCCTAACCCTGCAGTCTTACCTTGTGCCATCTGTCTCACTCAGTATGTTCCAACCAACTGGCTTCTGTTCACTCCTCAAACACATCAGTTCTTTCCTGCCTTGAAGCATTGGCATATAGCCCCTCTCCCTGTAAAGTTCTTCGCTTGCTAACTTTAACATACCCTCTAGACCTTTAGATTGTGTCACTGTTTTTGAGAAGTATTTTCTGAGTCCTCTTTCTCACAGCTCCTCACCTCAATCCTAAATTTGTTTTTCCTTTTTATTCCCTTTAATAGCACTCTTTTTTTCTTAGTAGTACTAACCACAGTTTGTAATTATGTGTTTATTTTTAAGCTTATTTGCCTTACATAAGTCTTTCCTGTTATACTCTAAACTGTATGAGAACAGGTACTTTATCTGTTTTATTCACCATGGAGTATTCTTCACCAAGTGTGGTCTAAATATTTGTCTAATCAGTGAAGAAAAGAACAAATATTGCTCATGTATTTTTCTTTTCTCTACGAGGGTATTTGAGAGACTAGGTCAAAAGCCATTCTTTTAACTAGGATTAAAAACTTTGGAATATCATAGACTGTTTATATTATGTGATCTGGTTCCCCAATTGTTTTTTTCAATGGAATCAATAGGTGATTCACTCTGACAGGCCCAACAGGGTATAAGGCATCTCGAAATGAGAAGTTCTTTTAGAATCACAACGGGGCTTCTTTCACATTGAGGCAGCTGTCGATCAGTCTCTGTCTTAAAATTCTCATTAAGAGGAGAAAGTACGGAATCTAGATTTCGTAGTGGCAAAGGTCAAGGCAAAATTATTATTAATTATGGCAGTGAAACATCACAGTAATCCTAAGAAAATGCACTCTTAGAAAATTTAAATGTAACAAAATATGAATTGGGGTTCCAAATATATTATGGAAAAATATGCACATTATTAGGTGTGTTTATAGTCTAATATATGTAAAAATGCTTTTAAAAAGTAATACTCACTTAAAAACCAGCATGATATTTGAGGTGCTTCCCAATGCAGAAGAAAAAAAGATAAATATTTGCACTACTATATAAACATAAAATTTTCTTGTACATTGATCATTTTTGGGGCATTCACCCAACTTCATTGAGTTATTTCTGCTCTGGAAACCATTTACTTCCACACAACTACAGTTATGAAACATCTGAAAAATAGTTTTTGAAATATGACAGAATATATTTACAAAATATGACTGGGATATAAATATATTCTATTCTATTTAAAGACATCTCACTCATCTAAGCTAAAATATTTACAGTTTTTAAAGAAAACATTCTAACAATACAGTTGTTTAAGAATTGAAAGGCAAAATAGTTTCCTGGATTCCTTTATAGACAAGAAAATGTAATTTACTATTAACTTTTCATACATCCCTAAATTAAAAATTAGGAAAGAATAGAAAAAAGTAATGTCTGAAACTCTGTAAATTATTTTCTCATCAATATAAAATGTTTAAATATTTCTCTACCACTCACTTTTATTTTCTATAGCACACCTACTGACTCTCTTTAACAATCTCTACAGAGTGTTAGTGACACTCCCTGGGTAGGATTGCCTAGGGAATCCAGAAAATATAGTAGTTTTGGAGGGGTCAAACCTGGGTCGAGAACCACCCATTCGAATGGGGCAAAGTCCAGGGCAGAAGGGACCAGGCACGGATGCTAGAATTCCACTTTGGCCAGCAAATACAACATCTGATTTCATGACAGATTATAGGATAGATGATGCCATTACCAGAGAGGTTCAACACAACAGAATACCCTAAAGGTTAGAACACAGCTGGAGACAATTTAGGAACAAATGATTTTAGAAATTTAATTTGGCAGGCAGTTTATGTAGCTAGATGGCTTTAATAAATTCTGTTCTGAGTCTAGGCTAAACTAAGGTTTAAGGGAAATTTGAACCCATTAATACTAAAGACCAATTACTGAAGGAGGAACTGGGGAAGAATTTGAATTCATACTTACCTGATGACCAAGCTTTACTTTTTTTTAACTTAGAATTGTATGGAGAAATTCTTTATGTAGCAAGCCTATCAGCCAATAAAACAAAACTTAAGTACAAAGGGCATTATTTTGAGTGATTAAGAAGGGATGACTTATTACTAAGAATTTGGTAAAAGAACTCCACAGTGGTCCCTAAATGGTAAAGTATTAAGAAGATGATGTCTCCATAGTAGACAGAGCTCTCTTTAGGATTCTAACAACATGTCTCTTCCAGCCCTTCACGCATGGACAAGGTGGGACCATAGATTAAACGGGGCACTCTCAATGAAAGGCGCTATAGCCATGCATATGAGATATGGGTTTTTAAGTATAGTCTTTGGGCCATTTTTGTGCACATTTATGACTCAGCTTCAAAGAATCTAGGTTCTTCAAAAATTTCTCAGTGACCTTCATTAATGCAGTTAGTAGGACTATGGGCAAGAAAATGATGGTAAAGTTTGAAAATCAAAGACAGGAGGATGTGGTAGAGAGCAATGATCATAGCTGATAATATTGCTAATATTGGTGATAGGAAAAGGGCCCAGGAAATGGGTCCTCAACTTTGTGAGTTATTCAGTGGATTGGAAGTAGAATAGAGAACACCATATCTGATGCCCAGCTATTGGAAGTTACTTGGGGGATTGGGGAGAACTCATAATTTGCATAGAAGGGGATATTTTGAGTGAAGAAGACAGTGGCACTTCTATGGGAGATGTTAGCAATAGGTAAGCGAATATTAAGTTATCCTGCCTAGGAAAAGTGCCAACCTTGAAAAAAATCAAAATTGGAAGCCAAAAATTGGACAGTCAAGTGAGCATGAAGCCTTGATTAATTTCTTGGAAAGTCAAAAGGGTATTGAGCCTCAAGATAAACTCTCCAGAATCTATATGCAAGATTGCATATAGATGGTTGTCCTGGAAGGGCACCTAGATTGACAAGGGGTTGGCTCAGGATTTTCCCCTAGCATCTGAAGGGTAAAGTACTTCCAACCTAATGGAAATCATATCCTTTAGTCAAATGAGGTGCTTCCTAGAAATCATAAATGTTTTTAAATTTCAAAAGGTCATAGTCTTATAAACGCAAGAAGAAAAGGTGGGAGTAATCTCATGAGAATTCAAGCAACAGAAAAACCTGCTTGTGTCTCAAGCAGGATTTTATGTGAGGCTTTGTTTACACATCACAGCCATCACAATGACAGGCAATAATGGGAATCTTTTTCTATCTTTTTACTGGTGACCTTAGTTGTAGAAACATTTGGTAAGTAATTATCAAAGTTTAAGTAAGTTAAATCAAATCTGCAGTTTTGATTAAGGAGAAGAAAGTAAAAAATAATACTCACAACAGACTTTTTACTGCCACTTGAAGATTTGCATCCTGCTAAACAAGGTGATATGTAAGTTATTCCATTGTCTCCACAGAGTGGTTCCCATTGACTTTGATCACAATTGCAGCCAGAGTTGCAATAAGAAAGTGGTACATTTATATGAGATGCCACTGGATTATTTCTGGAAATATATGATAGACATATATCAGAAAGAGAGAGAAAAGAAGAAAGAAGAAGAGGAAGGAGGAGGAGGAGGGGGAGGAGGGTAAATGTCACTGTCCTATCTCAACATGTGTGGGGGAGGGGGAGGAGGGGAGGGAAAGGAAAAGAAGGAGGAGAGACGAAAAGGAGGTGAGAAATAAGGGAAAGGGTTGTCTTTAAATTAAACAGAGATATTTTGCTTGTCCAAAACGGCAAAGTTTATTTTTAGTGCTTATTAACTTTTTAACCCTTTATCTTTACCCAGACATGATTTATGATGTAGAAAAAGTAAAACATAAAAAAGAAACCAAGGAGGATAGGTAAGACATAGACAAGAGGTCTTTGTGATTCTGTCAAAAAATTCCTCAAAAATCACTTCAGTTTTCTGAGAATTGGTTTCTGTTCAGTAGGGTAATGGCATTAGACTAAGGTTCTTCCCAGCTCACTGTAAAGTCTCATGAATCTGTGAATGTTAATTAACAGTTTGAATTTTTTAATCTATATTTTAACTACACAAGGAAAGGATTCAACGTGGTCAAAGCAGAATCCTTAAGGGTCAATTTTTAAAAATCAAGAATAATAGAATCGGGCTTCCCTGGTGGCGCAGTGGTTGAGAGTCCGCCTGCCGATGCAGGGGACACGGGTTCGTGCCCCGGTCCGGGAAGATCCCACATGCCGCGGAGCGGCTGGGCCCGTGAGCCATGGCCGCTGAGCCTGCGCGTCCGGAGCCTGTGCTCCGCAACAGGAGAGGCCACAGCAGTGAGAGAGGCCCGTGTACCGCAAAAAAAAAAAAAAAAAAAAAAAAGAATAATAGAATCAGTTGAGAAAGACTAGAAAAACTTCATATGCTTTTTAAATGAAACCATAACAAAGTTTATAATGATTTACTGTGAAACCGTTTTATTTATAAAATATAATCTTATAATATGGCTAAAATTATTAAATGGATTATTCATATAATTAATTTTCTGCTTATAGATTTTTTAAAATTATTCTTTTGTTTTTTGGTAAAAATCTTGATAAATTATCTTTGAATGAGAAAGTAATTTTCATGAAGAAAGAAGAAGGTAGATTCAGAAATTCTGTAATCAGTGATTTTACTAAAAGCATCTAATGCCTAATCCTGCTTGGGGACACACGATGGACAGGGAGTGATTTATCATAATGATTAATGACTCAGCCTGGACATTGCAATCAGACAGTCCTGTGTTCACATTAGGTCTGCCACTTCACAGCAATGTGACTACTCTTTCTAAAATTAGATTTGCCATTTGTAAGTCATAAATCCTCATAGAATATTTTTGGAAAAAAGTTAATTTAGCTGTTCTCAAACTTTATGTTCCCAGCAGCCTGTCCATTCTTGAAAAGTATTGAGGACCCCAAGGGTTTTTTGTTCAAGTGGGTTCTACTTATTGATATACATACTCTACTAGAGATTAATAATAAGAAAAATTTAGTACATGAGAATGCGCAAGCACACATATCCTTAGCCAACAGACTGATATTATCATCACATATCTTGTAGCCTTAGAAAATATCTCTGTACAAGCACAGGGAAGTCTGTTCAATACTCTGTAATAACCTAAATGGGAAAAGAATTTGAAAAAGAATAAATACATGTATATGTATAACTAAATCACTTTGCTGTACACCTGAAACTAACATGACATTGTTACTCAACTATGCTCCAATATAAAATAAAAATGAAAAAAAAATCACTATATATTCATTAGAAAATGAGAATGAAAAAGAAAAATACTATCTTGGTATTAATATAAAAATAGCTTAGAATTTGTTGACCATCTGCAAAAGTCTCAGGGACCCCTGTAGATTCTCAGACCACATTCTGAGAACCTCTACAGTAATTCTTACCCCAGTGACTAACGTTTCATAAATGCTAAACATATTGATTGATTCTGTTAATAGCCATCACTTAGACTATGAGTTCCATGAGGGCACTGAGGTATCCTATAAATTTTTTGACCTTTAAGGAGGCACTCAGTGAAATTTTATTGAATGAAAAAAGCCCACAGAACTCTAGCTGCCTTCTTTTGAATAGATAGCACAGTTACTGTGCTTGTTTCAGGGAACTGGCTTTAGGTTAAAGCCTATATGCTTGTGCTGTGAAGTAGCATCGTTCTGGAGTCACTGTATGACTTCAAACAAGTCACAGTTTCTCCGGGTCTCAACTAACAAAGGAAGAAGATATAAGAGGGTTGGGCTGCGTAATCTCCAGGATTCTCTTCCCTCTAAAGTTCAATGTTCTAGGTACTCTGTATTTTGATATACCAGAGTGAGTGGTCGTCAATAGGAATATTCAACAACAAAGAGGATTAGGGGGGAATGGGGAGATAATTCAAGATTAAGTTGGCAAGCCTCCAAGAATAGGATGATGTTTAGGTAAGCAAATGTGGGAAGATTCGACAGGTTCAAATTGACACCTCATAAGACCCAGAGTTTAAAAGCTCAAAGCCAACAATAAGCAGTGCTAAGGAGCCTGGTTACTCAACTGTGATCCAAGGATCTTTGCTTGTTGCTTGAACGTGAACATTCCTAAACTTAAATTGTTGGCTATATTCAGGAGATGATGAGAAATCTGCACAGGAATCTTGCCCTTGATTTGGGGTAGAGACTGTAGTACTAGGTATACTGCACAATGCGTGATAATAATGAAAAGTAAAAGTTTTCTAGGTCTAATATGCCATTATGTATAGAGTATTTATCAATTCTACTGCTAATGAAGACAATACCAGAAGAAACAGAATTAGCTTGCAAAAAAGGAGAATTCAGTGCAGTGTACTGGTTTTCTTATAAAGATAATTGTTAAACATCAAAATTAACTGCAGATAAAGATTGTTCAGTCACTTTTAGAAAATGTCATTTATATTTCTCTCATGATTCACCCAAGATCATAGTGGGTAGGATTAAGAGTTTTGGAGTCAAAACCTTCAAATCTGAGTCAGAATCTTAACATTGTTAGATATGTAATCTGTGTATCTTTCTAAGCCTTGCTTTCCTTATCTATAAAATGGGGATAAAAGTACCCATCACTCATTGTAAGCACCCCATAAATAATAACTATTAATATTACAAACTATATGGCTTTTCTTTAAGGAAGGAAAAAGAAGAACTTTTTGAGATCTTAAGAAATGAACGTTTTAAGAATTTGTAAATTGAAATTTCTCTGAGTTGAAAGTTTAGTAAAATTGCCATCTGCCTTGTTTGCCTTACTTTCTTTTACATTGGATGGTTTATATATTGTGCAATTGGTATATTGATATATATACAAACCCATCATAAGTCAAGGTTAGTCCAGCAACTGACTTGTTTTCACAGATTAGCGCAAAATTTAATAGGTGAAATAGGAAGGACAACATATGGCTACAAAATGAAAATTTCGCAATTCCAACCAAGGTAAATTTGAATTTTTTAATGATATATCCTCCTGTAAACACTCCAGATGCAAAAGTTGGTATGGTTATGAATCCTAGAAGAGAAAAAATGTAATTATAAAAATATGGTTATTCTGAATGTCTTTACACATGAAACACTGTATATCAACCAAAGTCATCCTATCTTATTACTTCTTAAATAGAAGGCTGGCAGTCCAGGATGGAGGTAGAGGGTCAGTGCACCATGTGGGGGAGATAAAAATAATTTCTTCCTGCCAATGCTGAAGGTTTAGTTTCCTCAGTAGCAAAAGTCAGTGACTAAGAATATCTGTATGTCTGAACATATGGTTTTTATAAGGTGCTTTTTGTCCCCTCCCGGAAAACAACAACAAAATATCATCTTCCTGACTCTGAGACTTTTATCCTACCATCTAAAATCCTTTGCATTTCCTTAAAATGAAGAATTCCCATCCTTAAAACTTACTACAAATTTGCCCAGTAGTTTAGAATTGAACACTTAAATTAATATCTCTTCTTTATTCATCTAAACACACACATACCCTAAGATGATAAACAGGTCTATTTGTGATGTTAAAAATAGTTGATTCCTCTTATAACTTTTCCATTTCATTGTCTTCCAAGATTGATTAAAGATGAAGATCCCTCTAACAAAAAAATTAGGCTGAGAACTTTATTAGGAGTTAAATTTACAGTTTTAACTTTTATCTTAAGTTCAATAAGCACATCCTACAGAATTATATTTTTCTTGTTTACTTATGACCTATTCATATATCACTTGATAAATTCAGCTTAACTTATCAAATATTGGGTTTCTACAATGTGCTGGGCCATGTACTGGGTATTCTACTGCTCTTAAGAATCTTATATTATACAGGGGGTAGGGAAA